AAGCCACTTTTTGTTTGTTTTTTGGCTTCCCTTCCTTCCTTTCTGCTTTCTTCCTTCCCATCCTCCACACCCCCAACTCTCCTTCTTTCTCTTTAAAGGCTAAATATGGAAATTAGTGTTCAAATTAAATATTTCAATTGAATTATGAACAATGTTTTAGACACTCTTAATAATAAAAAATTGTGGCTCAAGTCAAGATGGGCTGTCCTTTGGTTAGAATACCCTAGCCATGCCTTTTTCGCACACAGTTTAGAGATATTATATCATCAGGGGCAGCTATACCTTCTATGTTTCAGACATTGTGTTGAATGCTAAAGAGGTAAAAATGCCAGGCATGAGCCTTGGCCTCAAAGAGGCACAGCAAATAGATGGCATTGGTCCTCTGTGAAAGCCAGACTGGGGTCATAGTTCTTTCTGACCCAGGACTCCAGAGAGTTTTTGCTAATCTATCAGAGAATTGGTATACGAGGTGACATCTATTTGTTATCCCTGGGGGGAAGTCAAAGATTTTTCTGGTAACAAGTCTCGTTCTGACAATCATAATCATGATTATGTCTATAAAGTAAGACCATTTTATATGTATCCTGCTGAAGTTCGATTTTTTGAATGCCATTCTCAGAAGCATAAAACAGAAATAACTAACTTAAAAAAAATTACCTCCACTGCTGCTTTTGCCCTTTCAAATTCTTCTTCTAAGGAGTGGTTCCGAGAAAGTAATGCACTTCCCCAACGATGTTCTTTGGTCAGCCGGGCCTGAAATAAACCAAACACACAGTGTTATAATATTGGAATCACATGATACAAAAATACAAGTATATTTCCTTTTCCCACCTCACTTCCCCAGAGTTTAAGAAGCATCTGTGATTGATGTCATTTTTGGAGTACTTTGCAGGCATGCTGTTGCCCAAACTAGGATGGTGTCAAAATGTGTGTGACCATTCCAACAATGGGTCTCAGCCCTGGTCATACTAAAATCAATGTGCAGGCCCCACCTTCCAAATATCCTACTTTAATTGGTCTGGATCCCAGGCATTGATATTTTAGTAAACCTCCCCAAATGATTCTAATGTTCAGCTAGAATAGAGCATCTCCATTAGAAGGCTATATCCAGGATCTGATATTTGAGCTCTCGGCTTGTTCAATGGACCAGCCTCAGGTAAAAATTTAAAAGCTGCAGAAATGGAAGTGAGGCTTCCAGGCCTTTCTCCTTATGTACATATAACATTCTCACACAGAATTCTCTTTCTTTCACCTTCCCTCTCTTGCACTGTCTTACGTCCCATTTCTCAGGATATTGCTCTCTGTTAAATAATGAGTCATAGATAAAGTCATGTCTGATAAGGCCAACTGCTTTGCCACAATTAAATGTGCTGTGTGATACACATTCTAACTTAGCTAAATGCAAATATTTCCAAAAGACCCCCTCCCCCCAAAGAGTCTGCTGTAATTTTTTTTTTTTTTTTTGTCTTTTTCCGTGTCCGGCAACGGATCGCAACCCTCAGTGTCGCCCCCGTACCGGACCGGGACCGGCAACGGGATCGCAACCCTTGGTGTTGCCCCCGCGCCTCGCTCAGCCAGTGAGCGGGAACCGGTCTGTATGTGGGATCCGAACCCTCGGCGGGAGCGCCTCCGCGCTTCCCAAGCGGTGCACTAGCGCAGTGCGCCACCGGGCCGGCCCGAGTCTGCTGTAATTTAAAAAATGTTATTATTGCTAAACTTTACAAAAAATAAATGTGTTCTTTTTGAAAAAAATTTATCATGGAAAATAGGAGGTGTACCACTAGGCTTTTTTCTTTCCATTTATGTTCCTATTTATGCACTCAGAGTAATATGTATATAGGCACATGTACAGTAATGCGTTTCAAAAATTTTTTGAAATATAAATGGTATGACATTCTGCAACTTACTTCTTTCCACTCAACAATATATCTTGGAGAGTTTCCACATTTACCATGAATAGAGCTGCCTCATTCATTTCCCCAGGGATTTCCTAATAAGGTTACACTGTAGTTTGTTCAGACCCTTCCATGGACATTCAGATAATTTCCAATCTTTCTCCACATGATTATTTGCTTTCTTGTCTAGCTCCCCACTCTACTTCCCTGAGTGTAGGGATTTTGCCTGGTACCGTTTGTGCTCCCTGTACCTAGCACAGGGCCTGACAAGTAACGAGTGCCCATTAGATGTCTAAGGACTGCAGGACTAGGGATTACACTGAGGAGACAGCTGGGTCTTGGGGAGTAGGAGCAGAGGGGCTTGTGAAGTGAAACGTCCACCCACTTTTATTGCAGGGTGGCTGTGGGGTGAGGTGGGGTGGGTGGGTGAATTCTTGGTTCAAGTATCAGATTACTCTATAGTGCGGATGCCCAATCCTGCCTTCCATGGGGATTACTTGAACAGCTCGGGCTCCAACCCAAACCAATTCAATATGCACCTCTGGGGGTGCGGCCTGGGCATTAGATGTTTGAAAAGCCTCTCTGGTGATTTTGGAAAGTGGTCATGCTTGAAAACCATTGCTCTTCACACAGCCCTTACCATCTAGACAGCTCAGCTGATTCTTGTTCATTCTCCACCATCACTGGTTCTGAAGAGGACCCCCCTCTTTTATTATGGCACAATAGTACTACCAGGGCTCACTACATGCCAGATGCTACTTTAAGTACTTTAGATACTATAACTCATTTTGTCCTTTCAACAACCCTACAGGGTAGGTATTATCATTGACTCCATTTTCAAGATGATGACATTGAGAGACAGAGAGCTTAACTAACTTGCCCAAAGTCACACAGCTAGTAAGTGTCAGGGCTGGGGCTTCAGGCCATGCTCACAGCCACGGCACTGTTCTGCCTCCCATGGAAGGCTGTGCCCACCAGGCCATTTTAGGAAGATGCAAAACACAGAAAAGCTGTCCCTGGGGGGTTAGTGCATGGCTGAGGAGTCAATCAAGAAACCCTAATAATATTGTGGACTGAAAAAAATAATGAAATAATTATGATGAACACTTCTGACCATAAACAATATTCTTACACTGTGTTTTGTTTTAATGATCGTGAAAGGTTAATTTATTGATAAAATTTTTTTTGAAATGTTAATTTATGTCTTCTCCTCCCTGTTGTAATACTGCTGTATCACTGGTATCTCTGGGCAGACAGTAGGTGTTCCATGAGTTGTCAATAAATATTAGTTGAAAATACTCTGTCAGTGAATAGACGAGTGAGTGAATTAAAGGTATTTCCTCTTCTCTACCCTCAGAAGGTGTTCTCAGTCAAGGCTTCCTGGCCAATCCAGGAAACTAAGGGGTAGCTCATAGGAGATTGAGAGGGGACTTGTGTTTTCACCCTGGACCTGCAGTGTCAGAGGTCTGTGCTAGCAAAGCCTAACTGTCCTGGCTTGGGGAGAGGGGCATGGCTATAGAATACTCGAGGGGGCTGCCTAGTAAAGGGCAAGGCCTGTGGGCAGCGCAGGAGGGAGGCTGCTGGAGCGGTGTGTGTGGTCAGAAGAGGAAAGAGGTAAAGGTGCTGAGGGCACCTCTGGGCCAGGCTGGGTATCAGCACCTGGCTGCCAGGTGGGCCAGGCTTACTGGTCATGAAGAACAAGTAGCTTCTGTTGTTCTCTGAGCCCTGTGAGAGCTATGACCTCTCAGCCCAAACCATTGACACAGGGAGGGAGACATAAAGTGTAAGTGAGATTGACAATCACATCATCCTGGCAAGTGGGGCCTTAAACCCAAATTTAATAAAAGTAAATTTATTTTAATAGGACATTTCTTGTACTCCAAGGTTGTGAAGTAAATTCATACTCAGTGCAGAAGCAAAAGAACTTATACTTACCCTGGATTCAGTCTAAAAATATCAAGTTTTTGTTTAAAACCAAGAATATCATACTTAATTTTGGAGTAAATGATTAATTCAGCATATCCTAGAATTGAATTAAATAATATTGAGATAGATCTTTGCTCACTAGAGTGGAGAGATAAATCTCAATAGGTTTGTATAAATCATAAGAAATTTATGAGAGGTATATTTTATAAATGATGCTACATGCTTTTACATGTATTTAGTAATAGCATAAACTAATGTCACTTTTGGATTGTGGCTGAATGTTTTTGTTTGGAAATTATATGGTCCCTGGGATTAACACATTGAAAAGAATATAAGGACCTTCTAGTTTAAGAAAGGATTGGTTAGGTTACTTGTAAGTTGAATATTTGCTAACTGCTAACTCTCCCTCTTTACGTCTAGTTTTGATTCAAATTGTGAAATATACAATATTTTTTGGTTTCTAATCTATACACATTACATTTCTCCACTCACACTATTTTGTCTCTGGCAGTGACAAGCCTTTAAAGCACACAGTATTCCCTGCTGGGGGAAGTTAATGTAGTCCTGCTGGAGGGAGGCTGGCAAAAGAGGCTTCCTCGGGTTCTCATTTATTCATCAGAGAAAAAAGAAAAGAAAGCAAATGTTAATAAAAGACATGATTGTGTCCAAGTGGGAAAAGGGGCCCTCACAAGAATGGGTTGCTGTACCTGCCACCTTAACAAGTCATCATGCAGTGCAGAGTCTCCTGTCCTGTCCCACAGTTATTCTCTTTTGGACTCTTTCTGTGAAGGGCAGCGCCCCACATGCAGAGAGGCTGTACCACTGGCACCCCGACCACCTGATTGGAACACAGCGTTTTCTCCCACTGAACCATTTTCTGTGCGCTTTATCCCACACTTGTGAGTTTTCAAGAACTCAACAGATTGTGATGGAGAATAGCTCCCTAATCATCTGCTAGGACATATCTGAGGAACCTAGTAGGTCTTATAAAAGAAAAATATATGCCCAATGTTGAAAAAGGCAAATTGAGGTTGCTTGATTTCTTGATGTCATGCTAGAGCATTTTCTAATAAGACTCTTGACCCTTGTATTAGTTTCCCAGGGCTGCCATAACAAAGTATCACAAACTGGGTGGCTTAAAATGAGAGATTTATTCTCTCAAAATTCTGGAGGCTAGAAGTCCAAAATCAAGGTGCTGGCAGGGCCATGTTCCCTCTGAAGGCTCTAGAGGAAAATCTGTTCCATATTTCTCCCAGTTCTTAGTGGCTTCAGGAGTTCCTTGGTTTATGACCACATCACTACACACTGCCTCCTCCTCTTCTCTCTCAAAGCTGCCTCTGCCTCACTCTTTTAAGGTACATGTGATTGCATTTAGGACCCACCTGGATAGTCAAGGAAAATTTTCTCTCTCAACATCTATAACTTGATCACATCTTTTAGAACATAGGGTAATATTTACAGGTTCTGGGGATTAGGATGTGGATATATCTTTTTAGAGGCCACCTTTTGGTCTATGATAACCCTCATCTGACACTGTTGGGCCACAATATATCTGATTAACAAATACTGTATAAACAAACATGAGTATAAGGTGCAGATGATTTACAACCTTTTAAGATTGATAAGTTGGTAGGATGCTATAACCTGAAAGAGAATTTAACTCCAAAGGTGATATGATCTTATTGTCTTGTAGAAAGTTAACCAATCTTATATCTAACTTGGCAAACTTATTCTGGCCTTTCTTTCCCAACTGGCTATATAAAGCTCTGTTTCTCAATGCCTTGTTTTAGAAACCAACTCTTTTGTCTTCCTGCTGTTTCTTTCTTTAATGATATAAGCAAACAAATAAATTTTTAAAATGTGAAAACATTGTAAGAAATAAACTTTGTGAGAAATTGACAAAAATACAAATAAAGAGAAAGATACCCTGTG